CGCAGGAATGTCACCTGGCTTTCATTATTTTATTTTTGTGCCAGCCATGAAATTTGCCTCTTTCTGTGTGTGTTTATGCAATCCCAAAGTGCAAGTCTAAAGGCTCTGGGCTTTATGCTACCAGGCCTGTGTGGAAAGAGAGATTAAACATTTCCAGAGTTGCAGATCTTCCTGGCAACCGGGGCTGGTGGAGGGTGTCCCTGCCCAGGGCAGGGGGGTGGAACTGGATGGGCTGTGAGGTCCCTGCCAACCCAAACCTGTCTGGGTTTCTGTGATTCTAAGTCCTGGCTATGTGAATCACCCACCACCAAGCCCAGCTTCTTGGGGTGCAGAGAGGGTCTCCGCTGCCCCTGAGGTTTCAGCGCCCTGCTCCATCGCAGGGGGAGCGATGAGGAGGACCCAAGCCCAGCTGGGGGTAACAGGCTGCTTCCCTAAGCCACGAGAGGTGGGCGCAGAGGGAAATTCATCCCTTCTCCCTCCAGCAAGACAGGACTTACCGCCAAAGGTCCTAGAGGGCTGAGGAGGAGGAGAAATAGGGTGGATGAAGGCTCTGAGAAAGCTGACATAAGATGGGGCCAGCCCTCCTCTGAGCAGGGGCTGGATCAGATGTCCCCCCGCTCGCTCCCTGGGGAACGAAGGGAACCTCGAGAGAGAACTCCCCAGCAAGAGGGGTCCCAGCCCGAATCGCTGCCCACCGGCAGGAGAAACTTGTGGGCAGGAGAGACGCTCGGCTGAGCCGACGACGGCTTTGGGTTTCGCCGGAGGCGACCAGGCTCCGTTAGCAGGAGGGAGATGGCTGGGGGGACGGGAGCCGCTCCGGCAGCGATCCTTCCCCGGAGACGTGGGGCGGAGGAGGTGCGAGCGCTGAATCATGCCGGGATGGCTCTCTGCAAACACGACAACCACAGGATTAAGAGGATTTTTCCTGCCTCTGAATTGTGGGATTTTTAGAACTTTTTTTGCCTATTTTCTTTTACGATTTAAAGATGGGGGGGCTTCCTATTTTTGCTGCAAATGGAGATGGATTACAAACTCCCACTGACGCAGAGCAGGATCAGTTCAGCACTGATACGAAGCTGCGTTTCAGCTGCTTGATGAGACTGCCATTTCCCGTGACCAGACGCCACGAACGTTCCGGGATGCTCAGTGAGTAGGTGCCTTTTCAGAGAATAAAGGTATTACATGCAAACCTGAGCTGAGTCAGCTGGAGGCTCGTTACCCCAGAGAAACTGGCACAGAACATCAATGAACGACATCTGCTCCGCGAAGAGAAATTGCCAATTAAGTGCTGACAGCAGGGGGTTATACAGGTGACAAAACCCTCTGCTGTCACCTTACCCTTGGCACATCCAGGACAGAACACGGCCGGGTGATTTTTCCTTCTGGCTTTTTTCTGAAATGCTCTTTGAAGACCAAACCGCCTCCTCGGGTTTAGATATCGGAGTCTCAGCCCCAGGACGGGGCTGCCGTGACAACCCCCCCTTGAACCCACGGGTCTGCAGATCCTTTGTGTCGCCTTACTTAGCTTTTTCCAGCCCATTTATTCTGTAGTCTGCAAAGAGATTCACTCCATGAAATCATTAAGACACACAATGAGACCAATTACGAGTCAGAAAGAAAACCTGACTTTAAACATAATTTTATTAAGGCTTAAATGTCTATCAGCCAGACGGGAGCTGGTCCAGTCACACGACATAAACCCAGAGTGACGTTTGGTGTAACGCGATGGCTTTTCTACAAGAGTTCGCACGAGCAGGATGAGATCGCTGCCGGTTACTCAGGCGTTCATCACCTCTCTCCGTGACTTGCGGGGCTCCGGGACGAACGACGCGCTCCTGCGGCACAGCGAGGGCACGGCGGGGAGGAGGGGAGCGAGGCAGGGAAGGGGAGAAGTCAGGTAGCTTGCACGTTGTCAATCACAAGAACTTCGCCTGATCCGCGACCGAATGGCTGCTCGTCAAATACGTAAATGGTTTTAACTCACGGGGAAGCTAAACTCACAGTCCGAAAGGCACCTATGCTAAACCACTGAGCCATGGGATGGTGGTAAGAGGGCGGGTGCGACAGGTGGAAATCAGTTCTGTATAAATACGTTATTCCTCGTTAAAGAAGCTATGGCTTTTGTTATTCTCAGATCGCTTTGCTCCGGCGCGATGCTCTAACCCCCCACCCCCCCC